ACTATTGTATAACATTGCTATTCATTTGCGCCAACGAAAGAAAGAGAAGTCAGTTTTGATCACTAGACTGCAAATATACTCGTGTATAAATTCGTTGCTTTTTCTTAGATCGTAAGAGAATAACGATGTGATTATACTCGTGTACATAGAGCGTTGTGTAAAGGTCGTAAATCACCATTTTCTACATTTGCTGCTAAAAATGGCACATTTTACCTTCAATAGATTTTGCAGGTTTCACGTTTCACTCCTATTGCACAGTGTACCGTTATCAAATTATATGAAAACGATTCTTACAATACTTTTAATACTTTTATAATTTCTTTCATAATTCCAATCGCAGCTTTTTAAGATTCTATGTACTTGCAACATCTAAAGCAGTTTTAATATATCTGTATTATCTGATCGGACGCGTATTTGATCATTTCGGTTATATACCAAGAATGTCGGCCATCTGTTTATTAGTTCTGACAATGTATCATTTACATAAAATTAACTTTTATTACCATAACAAAACTTTCACTACCATTCATCGTAAAATTATGCATTCTCCTCTTTCTTATGAATGAGTTATAAAATCGTCAATCTGCAACACACAGTTGACCAGTACGCAGCTGTTTTATTTGTAGAGAAATAATAAAAAGGTAATAAATGTGAAGGATCTTAGTGCGAACACTGTGAACTAATAAATATGCGCACTGCGAGGAACCATATAAATTATCTTTTATTTGACGATGCGAATGTGTTACACCGTTCAATTTAATGGAAAATAAGATTTACGAGCTGATACCGATACCAGACGCAGAGATGTTCGCGAACCTGGGACTCGGTCTTCGGCACAGTCCACACGAATTGTATTCAAATGACGATCGTGAACCCTGGTGGCCTCCGCGTTACGTTACGAAACACCCATTAAATTCAAGTTTTACAAGATTATACTTCACCTCCGGCACAATTAACGTTATTCATGCTCGGTCTCCAATGCAGCTCATTATGGGGGTAATTGTAGACAGGAATGTGGTGGGTGATTCAGGGAGCCACATAAAATTGCACTGCCATTTTGTTTAATGTATGGACACGTTTTATGTGCGTTGGAGAGACACGAGTATCGAAAATATAATTGAATAAACTGGCTTAGTCAGTTTATGTATCTATATATGTTTTTTGCGCGCATAATAAAATACTGCTGAACTACGACTAAACAATCTTATAATGGTCATACTGATTACATTGAGAATCAACGTAAATGAACGAAGCCGGAAAGGACATAAGTAAAGAAAATCGGAAACAATACAAGTGAAGAATGACAGAAACAACATAAATGAACACAGCCAAAAATTAACACGAATGAAATAACGATCTCACGACAATCTTCATTATCTGAATCGCTAATATGTAAATTCTCCATTATCTGAATAAATTTCACATATGAATAAGTAAGACGATCCAACCAATTGAAATTTTTGCAAAAATTGTTTAATCGAATAGTTTTTAGTAAAGTAGTCCGTCCAATATCTCAAGAAATTTTCGGTCGCTTACCTAAAATATATAGAAGTTATTCTGTTCAAAAAGGTGTTCGTATAGTACTTGGCTCATTGTAGATATTTTGATCGTCGATAATACGACACAGAATTTTTCGAGAAATGTAAACGGTAAATGTATCAAGTCATCAAGTCGCTCATGACCATAAATATTAATACGACTGTAAACCTTAATGGAGGT